TCAATATTTTGTGTGAAGGATGGGTTCACGTGAAATAAGATATACATGAGTTGTTTGAAGAAAAATTTATTCATTTATTGATGAAATATGCTCAAATTGGCGACCTTCTACTCTAATACAAGCTTGGCCCCTTTTAAGAAAAGACGCTTTAAGAGATCTTAAACTCAATTGGGCTATCTCAGCAGCAGCTCCATTTATTTGTTCCCGCAAATGCTCTTCGTTTTGAATTGTTTTTGAATAAATTTTGTCCTTAAGACAGCCCCAGTAGAAAAAATATAATGGATTCAGGTCTGGCGATCGAGCGGGCCACGTGATTGGCCCGTATCGTCCAATCCATCGGCGAGGATAAGTTTCGTCTAAATGAGCTCTTACTTCACGCCCGTAGTGAGCAGGGCACCCGTCATTTTGTAGCCATAGTCTTCGCCGCAGGTTTAAGGGTACATCTTCCAAAAGAGTTGGAAGCCGTTCCTGAACAAAATCTAAATAACTGTGAGAGTTGAGCGTTGGCGGCAGTTCCACAGGTCGCAATATCTGACAATTAAAAATACCGCACCATAAATTTATTTTGTACCGGTACTGCGAACGATCTTCTCTCATTTCGTGAGGATTGTCTATCTGCCAACTGTCAAGGTTATGTAAATTAAAATAACCATCACGTTTGCATGATGATTCATCGCTCAAAATTATTTTATTAAAAAAGTTGGGGTCTGATGCATGCATTCGCAACATTTCACGGCAAAATCTAACCCTCGACAGGTAATCTCTTTCCTGTAGAGCCTGAACACGTTGAATGTGGTAGGGATGAAATCGATGGTCTTTTAAAGCTTTGTGAACTGTAGTTTTTGGTATTCCCGTCCGTCTTTCCATCATTCTCACTGAAGTCGATGGACCTATGTAGTTCCACTTCCTATAACACAACTTCAACATCTACTGTTGCAGGACATCCTGTTTCGCCGCCACGCCTTCCAGGTATGCGACTTTAAAAATTGAAAAATTATAGTTAACAAGAAAGCTAAACAAGAAAGGTGTAAAAATCACTTACCTTCATATATTTCTCTATGGGTCCGGGCGAATACTTCACGACCCGGATGCCGACGAATTGGGTATCGCTCTGCATAGAGTCTTTGAGCAGCTTTGGCATTACAGCAAGCTTCACCGTAAATTAGGTGAATATCCGCATATTCATGCGACGTATACTGTGTGTTCTCTGTCATAGTATTAATAACACAATGTTCGAAGGGTCCAATTTCACAAAATCCACTTTCACTAATTCCGGTAAGTAACACAAAATAATGTCAGGAGCAGGTAATAATGTACCTTTGTACTATTTAGCATGTCATTTCACGGTAACAAGAGCAAATTCAATTTAAATCTATTAAATACATTCTAGCGTGTCTCAGTCCTTTACCCACAAAAGCGGCTATAACTTTTTTTTTCTATTCAAAACAGTAAGTGTGGCACCTTTCTGAAATCTTTATTAAATGAGCAATTTTTTTATGTAATGTAAAGTTATAGCTCAGTAAATTTTTATTCACCCGAGATAGTCAAAGTTGGGGAAGAAAATATCAAAAAGTTAAAAATCCAGAAATAGTCCTAATTTTATGATGGTTCCTTAATATATTTTAACTAAATTGCATTTGAGTATGGAGAGGCAACTATTTGGAAGTATTTTACATAAACAATTTACTAAGTATTGCCCGGTTTGTAGTTGCAGTTAAAGAAAACACATGAAAAGGCACGACTTTTTTTGAATTCGAAAAAATGTAAATATTTCAAAAACGGTGACACTTTTACCTGAACATTTTTTTGTTTATCCGGGAGCTCACCCCCCCCACCTACCTTCCTCTAAAGTTTGGCACGTTACTTCTGGGACACCCTGTAAAGTTATTTCCATACGGCTTCTAAATACAATTTTTTAAAGTGAGCTTCAAATTGAAATTAATTTTAAACTGAAATGTACAGAATTCTTTGACTATTTAAACACTAAAGATTCAAATGATCTCATTATTGCTATTTAAAAATGTCATAAATATAAAATAATTAATTGTATTCTGTGTACAATGATGTGTACATCCAAGTTACAATGAATACCACTTATATTTTTTATGAACTATATTTTTTTCAATACCAAAATATTGTTTAAAACTAATAATAAAAATGTACTGAAAAGTACTGCTTTTTTTAGCATGAAAAAGTCGAACGTACTGATTTCGCGCATAAAAAAACTGGCAACCCTAGGGTACCAGTGCGCGCTACCACTGCGCTGGGCCTGGGTTCAAGCCCTGGTGAAAGCAACATCGCAAAAAAATATAGGAAAGAGGTTTTTTCTTAACAGCGCCCAAAGTTTTAGAGAATTTAATTTCCCACATTTTTTATACAGAGGGTTTAAAAAAAATATTTTAATTGCACATAATTAGCAAAAACTGCGAAAAAATTTTACATTGTCAAGGATTTCGTCATTTTTCGACAATATGTGTTGAAAATAAGTAGCATGTTCAAATGCCAAAGTTGTAGAGAATTTCATTCTCCACAAATTTTGTACGAACATAGCTATGTAAGGGAAGCGTCACGTCAACTGGTACAGTACGATGGCCAAAATTCCCTTGATGTTCTTGGGGCCGCTTATTACAAATCTGAGATTAGGCTGGAAAAATTCAAATTGGCGGACTCAATATGGCG